CGGACTTTCGCTTAACATCTCATTTGAAGAGTGATATCTCTGACAATGTAGCATATCCCCAGCATTGCATTGGAGTAGCAGCCTAGACTATATAAGTTCAAAGTCACAACATGGGGTTTGAACCCACAACCTTCTGACTCAAGATGCAAGTGGTACCAACCGGGACTTCAGAGTTTGGCAAATTCTTAAATGCAACCTTAATTCTAAAGCCAGATATCTGTAAGTTGTTTTCAAGACAGTTTCTTAAAGCACAATGCAGTGTACAGAAAAATTAACAGGGAATGTAATAGTTATTGGAGTTTCACGTCCAAGCCTGATCTCAAATTAATAATACAGAAAAGCTGGTCAATGATATGGGTTGGGCTCTACTGCTCGAGCGCTGAGAATTCATCATGGGGACTCATCAATACATCCATTTTTATAATAATCCTTGCATTTGATATGTCATGTCGTCTAGACGTCTCAAAGTGCTTCACAGAATATACCCTAAAGTGAATTGACTGTATATTTTGTGGCCACAACGCTGCAGACAATTGCGCATAGCAGTATCCCACAAACAGTCGTGGATTGAAGTGACCAATTTATTATTATTATTATTATTTTGAAGGAATTATTACCCCTGGAAAAGCAATCCGCAATCGACTAACAACTGGGTTCTAGATAAACAGTAAGGAAACTTGTCCAACATTTCGCTCTGCCGGGAATCAAACCCAGGTCTCTTGCTTGCTCTAACCCCTGAGCTACAAGTCTCTACGATCTTTATCATTTTGTACACTCTTGTTACAGCGGCTGAGGGCGGAATTCAAGATTATTCTCATTTGAATCTTGAATCCAATAACTGCAGTACCAAACTGAGAACAAATCATTACTGCACTTGCTCTTTGTAAATTTTCATTACCCATCTATTACTGAACAGTGACCGATTCCTCGGTCTTAGGAAATGCATGGCTGACTTTCCATTTGAAGATACAGAACAAGATCCCAAGATTGGAGTGGATGAAATAAGCCCTTCAGCCCATCCAATCTCATCCTTCCAGCTTCCGTTTCCCCTGTCTCTCTCCCCAAACCCCACCACCCACCCCCATTCGTTGAGACGTCTCAAAGAGCTTCAGAGGATACACTGTAAAGTGGATTGACCGTGTGTTTTGTGGGTGAAAGCCCGAAGTAAGGATACTAAACAAAGACAATCCCAACTCTTCACAGAGTTCTTTTATTTAGCTGTTATGATTAGCTGCACTATTCAGCAGGATACCCAAGGCACCTTATGCTGAAGCAGTAGACAAACAGTAATGATGGATTATCACTTTAAGCAAGGCCGATAAAAGACCAGGGTTCAGTTTCTGATATTAAATATTCAGTGTGTTTTTTTTAAAACCTGTTTATGAAATCCATACCGCACATGAAAAAATGCCTGCAAAATACATACAGACACACCACTTTACAGTATATCCTGTGAAGCATTTTATGACATCTCAATGACGTGGTAAGGTGCTATATCAAATGCAAGGAATCTTATTATTATTATTATATGAATAAAAAAAAGCTTCCATTCAAAAGCTTCACACAGAAGATAAAAGCGCCTAATCACATATAGGAGTAAAATAGGAAGAAAATACAAAATAAATCAATTCCATTCTACAATGCAGAATCAAACAATATTGCACTGCAGAGAATCGTAAACAGGATTTTTTTGTCTCTGCTGCCAGTAAGTTCACCATTTCCAAAAACTGTTCATCCGATTATTGCTTGTAAACCGAGACACCCTCTCAAACACGTTACTCAAATCTATGTCCATGTTCAACCTTTATTGCTACAATCAGAGTCAAAGTCACACAACAGTTCCTCAATGCTTCATTAAGTGCAGATGAAACAGGATGCACATTCCCATTACCTGAGAGTAAAGCAAGTGAGCTCTTTGTGTGATCTTGAAGGTGGAGGAAAACTATGTATGATATGGAAATGCATGCAGTAGGGGGAGGGGGGGGCGAGGAGGGAAGGAAGCTATATCCTTATTTATTTTTAAGCAAATACAAAAGCGAAACCAGATTGAGTTTTACAATACAATGGACATTTAAACAGCAGGAGGACGTCTCAAAATGCTCTACACTGCTTGCTGGGCATGGGAGCCAAAGGGGGTGGCAGGGGAAAGATGACCAGAAGTGGGATCAAACATTTATGTCTTGAGGCCGGCTATGAATGGAGTGAGGGAGGGAACAAGTGGGGGGGATTCAGAGATGGAATTCCAGACAGCGAGGGCCCAGTAGCTGAAAGCTCGTCTGCCGAAAGTGGGCTGGACAGGGTAGGAGACATGACACAGCAGTGTTCGCTGAGTGAAAGGAGCGGCCAGGTCAGTAGGGTTGTAGGAAGTCACAGAGGTACGGTGAAAATATCGTAAGTGAGTACATCTTGTACAGCAACAAGCAACATAACCTGCTAATCAACCATCATTATCTTTTGGATATATTTCTGCACAGATTTTTATTCGCACAAAACATTGAAGTTTCATCTTAAATGGCACCAAAAGATGTTTAAATATCTGTACGGTAAATATTTGTACATTTGTTTAATCGAAAAACACCCCCCAGATTGTGGTGGAAATAATAATGTATTAAATAGTCATTAATGTTGGAATAATTTTGCCAGTTATTCCCCCCTCCCTGTGTTGAAGGAAAAGATATTGCACTTTCTCTCCCCCCAAAAATTCCAATGCAATGTACGTGTAAACAGAATCTTTTGCTCGGTTATCTGGCTTGCAAATATATGGCAGAGAAATCAATGTATAGGCTCCATCTCCCCCCCACGGTTTACTAGCAGACTGACCCAATTGTGGACGTTTTTTATTGAATAAGTCTCAGGAGGGATATATTGAAGTTTTTGGACTATAACAGCATTTTTGATTACAACACTATCATTATCATTAAATTCCTGATAACGCAACGTGGGTTAACTTGTCACTACCACAAAAGTCATCATGCTGCTAATATATACATTTTTCTATTTATTTACACTTATGCCTAACTCGTCATTCCAGATAATTCATCACTGAGCCCTCTTCCCTTGGAGCAACAAGTTATCAGGAGTTTACTGTATATCCTGGGATTGCATTTACTGGGAAAATGGTCCATGCTGTTGCCTCCTACAGATGCAACAAATGCAACATTTATACTGCATCGAGTGCGGCACACTTCGGAACAGGATTCTAAGATTCTGCAGGGATTGCAAAAAGAGTAGGGAATTGGGATCAGGTTAGTTAGTGGTGGAGCTGGCACCACCCTAGGCATTAATGGGCCAAATGATCTCTTCCAAAGCTACATTTTACATTACAATTTACATTTATACAACACCTTTCTTGTCGCAAGGCCATTTCTAAGCTCTCAACACCGCTTCTGGGCAACAGAGCTGTGGGAGGATACGAAAGGGAGTGGACTAGAAAGATGACCGAAAGTGCGATCAAAGAGATGGGTCTTGAGAAGGATCTTGAACGAGGTGAGGGAAGGAGTGATTTTTTCTGCATTTGGAGCATTGGGTGGAGTGGAAAAAACAAAGAATAGACATAGAATTTTTTCCACAAAATACACAAGAAACATTCAGAACAAACAAAAAAATACCCTTTGACAACCTAAATCTTCACAAATGATTGTGTGCAAGTCAAATCAGTGGTCAAGCTGTGCACTTTAACAGTCATTTCTCTATTTGGGGACATTTGTGGTGAGGTTGTGGGAATACAGCTGTGTCCCATATCTATGCATCTCGATATTTTCTTTCTCTCTCATGACACACACTATGAAGAACATGCAGTAAAAGGTGTTCATTAACTAGGTTTCTGCTGCAGCTTGTCCCGACCTGGCCACTGGGAGGTGTACAAGATCAGACCAGAGCTTTGATCCCCACTACACCCCATCCCACCACCACCTCTTGTGGACAATGCCTCCACTTCTGTCCTTCCCTTAATGATTGAGTTCAGAAATCCTGCGCTGTGTGTGTGTGTGTGTGTGTGTGCAGGGAGGGGGTGGAAATCAAAGGTCTAAACCAGTGAAAAGCAAATCAAGGCACAGCACAACAGCACATTCTGTAGACCTCATTCTGAAAAGATATTTGGCCAACATTGAAGATCGTTTTCTTAAATGCTTCAGTATTATGCAAGTTACCAGTATAGAAAATACTGTGAGCTCCCCCTGAGGCACAAGTCATTTTTTTTCCCCCACATTGCCCGTGACTTAGTGTGTTGCCAACCAAGCTCTGTGTAATAAATGTCACGTGCCAACTTGCTACTGTCCGTAGATTTCATTGTCCGATTATCTAGTTCTCTGCCCTGTGGCAGAAACAGGCATGTATGAACCTCAAACTCACGTCTTAAGAGGAACAGGTATTGCAAATAAGCGATTTTAGGCAATTTTACTGTGGATAACCGAGACCATGCAATTGCCGTCTTTCTCAGCAGGATTTTCTCTATACGGAATCCTCCTAAAATTCCCAATCAATAGCAGTCGGGGACCAGATCGCGTTGAGTGCCGTTGCTGTTGTGCTGTGCCACGTAATTCCTGTGACCGGAAGGAGTCCCTGTTCGTGTGACACGAATTCAACGAATCCCATTTAAGAAACACCACACATCAGATCTCGCACATGTTAATTTTTATTTTGGCAACAAAAAAATGACCATATATGTTGGTTGAACCAAACGATTTGAACTGACATTCCTTGAAAGAAGTATAGCTCAGCTGCATGACTGCTGCTAATACCACACAGTACTCGTATGCCTGCCTACTAGCGTATATACCTGCTGAGGGAGGTGGGGGGGGAAGGGGGGAAAGAAGAGAGAAATTTGCTGACTCATTACTTCATTTCTAACCTTGATGAGCTATGCACGGCATGACTTATACAGCTCACACTGCAATTCCGCAGGATTTCACCGAGTACGTCAGAAACACCACAATTACTGACAGCAGCTAAGGTTGGGAGGGGAGGTTTAAAAAGGCAGAGAAATAGAAAACAGACGCTACCTTCTGTCACATAGTTATGGTCTCGGAGAAAGCTGTTGTTGATTTTTCGTGTATCAATGTCCTCGCCCATTGACAGCAGGGTTATTTGGCATGCCGATCCGCAGTGGACTAAAAGAAGCAGGAGAGGTCGTCACGACAGCAGCATCCATACTGCCAGTGCTCAGCAGAGGTGGAAGGCGGCGAGGGGTGTGGAGCACAGCATAATGTGGCTTAGTGATGCAGCACAGCNTTTTTACAAAAGAGAGAGGGAAATGAAGAGAGACAGAAAGAGAAACAAACACAACGGCTCCCACCAAAGTGACAATGTCCAAAAAGAGAGAAGGCTGGGGCGGATGGGGGGGGGGGGGGTGGCGAATAATCAAAGCAAGAGGTGGCCCTTTTGTAGAACAGCCTTTCACTGGATGACTTATCCTGCAGTAAAAAAAGAGCAAATCAATCTTTCACTCAGGAACTCCTCAAACAAACCCCCGTGCAGAATCTACTCTCGAGTGCTGCTGCAGAATCTCAACGGATGCTGAGAAAGTGGCACGTCTGGGTAGCACTCACTTAGAATAAGTGCACTGCTGCATTGGCTGCCTGTAGAGACTCAGTAAAACACGGGTGCTGTGTGACTGCTGCTGCCGCTGCTGTCATATGTGCATGCTGCATCAGGACAGGCCCCTCCCAGACATCCTGTCAGCATCCAACCACGTTAGTCCGCATTTCTGGAGATGAAATATGGCACTGCAGGTGATTAAAAGGGGGAGGGAAAAAAAACACAGCTACCACCTTATTTACTGGAATCCTTTGGTACAAAACTCTTCCGTGTTGGTGGGTGGATGAAAAGAAGCCAAAAGCAGGCGATCATTGGAAAATCATGAATAAATCAATTCCCTTTTAGAGGAAAGAGAGGAGAGAGAGAGAGACAGTACAATTGGCATGGCGCTCTGGTTCATCAGTTATTAGCCCGAGTGTGTGAAACGTGTAAAAGCATTGAAACCAGCAGCTCTGCTATTAAATTGTACTGAGGTTTTGTCAGCAGATTCTGCCTGGAGCAATCAGTTTACTTGTTCTGCACTGTGTTCCCCATGTGCCTTTCAAATGAGGACCAAAATGACTTATATACAAAAAAAAATGCAAACCTAACCTGCGTGGACAGTGCCAAGTTTCACTGCCGGTTAATGCCACTTTCCGCGGGTTGCCAAAAGCATTTACATCAAAGCCATTAAAAGAAAATGGTCCATTACTGCAGCAACTTTCGCCTTCTTCAGTTAACTGGAATTTTACTGCAGTAATCATTCATCTATTTACGGTTGCAGCCCCACACTTAAAATCAGCATGATTGCATAGTGTACCACTGGTTGGATTATTCTGAATTTTATTAAATTCACACTGATTCATCTGGCTCGAAGATGATGGGGCTACAATTTTAGGACGCATACAATTGTGAAAAATGCATTTGGCACAATCATTACACATTATTTTCCATCCAGATATCTTTCAGCACCTCACACACTGAACATGTGTCCCTTTTGCACATCAGGCCCACTGGTGCCACTTCACACAGTGGAAAGATTATTTTTCTGCCTAACCTTTACCTTTGTAACTTGGTCATTCAATCCACCACTGTTTGTGGGACACTGCTGTGCGTTACTGGCTGCCATGTTTCTCCCACAAAATCTACAGTCAATTCACTTTACAGTAAAGAGCTTTTGAGACGTCTCGAAGACGTGACAAGGCTCTATATCAAATGCAAGGATTATTATTATTATTATTACATTATGTTTTGGTGAATTTATGTTCTCATTCATGCAGGTTTGCAGGTTATTGCACAACAGCTTTACTGGATTTCACAAATCAAATAAAAAAAATCCCAGAGCCAGAAGTCACATAGAGTATGTTACATAAAAGCTGCAGGTCAGGAAATACAGGCCCACCCTGCACTGGGGTTTGTCCATAAACTCTGACCTTGTGGTATAAAGAAAGTTTAAAAAAACACTGGTCAGCACTTTCGGGGACATTAGGTCACCACTGACATCATTTATGTTGTAAAGTGACATCAGCTGCACTTCCTATGCAGAGTGCAGGAAATGCCGCTGGCGTCACTTCCTTTAATAACGCTCATGGAAAGCGAGTCAATCAACGCCAGAAGTTTCAGATCCAGAATCTCAGTTCCACAATGTGCCTGAGCCATAAGCAGATCTACGCTAAACTGGAGTAAGATACATAAGGGTTGCCCTGCAGTATTTGACAGGTTTCTAAGAAAAAAGCAAGACCTAGCATCTAACAAAAACTTGTGCAAACTTCTTATCCCGCGCTACAGTCTGTTATACAATAAGGCGAATTCCTTTCTTTGAAAATTCTTGGATCTTTTTAAAAATTAGTTTTGCTTTCATTTGGGAAAGGTTTGGCTAGCCAAGAATAAAGCGCATGGTTGTGGAGACAAGATGATTCTTCCAAAGGTATCACTGAAATCAGGTGAGTGGTTACCTGGGACGCTACCCCACATGAATGGCACTATATAATAATAATAATAATCCTTGCATTTGATATAGCGCTTTTCACGTCGGGAGGATAAATCAATTTGTTGTTGTTGTTGTGCGAATCTTGATCAGCTTATCAAATAATCTCCCCACCCCCCCATGCCCTCAGACAAGTTACGTCTTTGAAATTGAAACTATCCAAACCATTGATTATTAAACTAAACTATTTACTACTGAAGTTATCCAAACTGCATTATTATTATTATTATAATAATCCTTGCATTTTATAATGTTCTTTATCACGTTGTCAAGATGTTTCAAAGCACTTCACTAAATATACTGTCAAGTGTAGTGAGTGTGTATTTTGTAAGCGAACATTGCAGCCAAATAAAATTAATGACTAATTGGGATTGTTTGGCAATGACACAGAAAAATTATTCTTCAGTCTGTCCAGTTCAATTATGTGGAGCCAATTTATTCCATTTTTGGCTAACTTATTCATTCCTTATTATAATATGATCATGATATATATATATAATATACACACACACATGCACACACAATGCAATGGAACATGATCACATTAAACAACAATGCTTCAAATGAATCAACAGGATAATAATAAAGGGAAATAATTGGCAACGCTTGTTGGAAAAGGAAAGAGGCTGACCACTGGATTGAGAACAAGACAGAAGGATTTCAAAAAAGAGAGATTAGGGGAACCAAGAGATAGCTGAAAAGGGAAATAACAACAGATGCAAGACAGAACATCAAAATAATCTTGAAATATTCTAACAGTAAGAGAGTAGTCAGGAGAAAAGTTAAACCCTAAGAGATCTATACGATGAAAAACAGGGTAAACAGGAGAAGGTATACGCATAATACATTTTAACTTTTTTCTTAAAACTGGGGAGGCAACTGGGGAGGGCATTAAAAAAAAACTTTCTGGCCCACTTCCACCACATATTGTCTTTAACTGATAGGCTCAAGGGGCTGAAGTCCCCCAAAATAGGCCCCATGGAATTATGAACTGTATCTCAAAGATACTTAGAAAGATGAGTGATGGGTTCTATGAGGCACTCAATGTCAGGAATCACAAATGATAAGGTCCAGCGGGATGGAAGCAAACAAATGTGGTTCTACAATCAATGTTGAGGCCAGAGGGCTGTAAGGTGCCCAGGAGGTGGAGGAAGTGCTGTTCTTAGAGCTTGCATTGTGCTTCGTTCGAACAGCATAGGAGGCTGTGGACAGAGAGGTCGCAGTTGGGAGTGGGAAGGAGAATTAAAATGGCAAGTGACTGGAAGCTCAGGTTTGCACTTATGGGCGGAACAGAGGTATTCAGCAAAGCGATCAGCCAATCTGCGTTTGGTCTACCCGATGTAGAGGAGACCACAGCGTGTGCAGTGAATACAGTAAACTGTAATCACACACAGTATACTGGCCTCAACATTGATTTCAACCACTTCAGACCCTAACCACAGCTCCCACCCTCTCTCAGCCTTGCCTCCCGCCACCCATCTTCCCACACTTCTATAGCCATTAACACATCCTCTGGTTCTTATATGCATCTGTTCGCTCTATAATCCCCCTATTGCCTTTTGTCTTGCACTATCAACACCTCTAATCTCATCATCTTCTGTCCTCCATCTAAAAATGTTTCCTTTGTCTTTCGTTCCCCGCCCCCTTCTCTGCTTGCCCTGATAATCTGCTCCCTTCCAACATCCCCTAGTTCTGACGAAAGGTTATAGATCTCAAATCTTTTCCTCATTTTCCTCTCTCCATAGATGCTGCCTGATCAGCTGTGTTTTCCCAGCGACTTCTGTGTTTATACTAAATCTCCAGCATCTACAGTACTTTGCCTTTTTCTACTTGTGAGGGATTTGGCTTCCAGGGTTAACAGGAGCTAACCGAGAAGAATCCTTGTCCCCAGTGATTAGTCCTCCCTTCCTTCCAAGACAGGTTGCCTGGTCTGTCAACAGTGCCTTTGTAGAACAAAAGGAAAATAAATGAAATGAACTATCCCAGTTAGACTGGGCACAATTTGGGAATAGATTGGCAGATTGGCTGACAGCCATCAGTAAGTGGCACAGGCGTGCACAAAAGAAGCCAACAAGAGGGAGAAATCAAAGAGACTAAATTAATACAAGAGGAAATGAAAAAGAGAGATGGAGTGATCTATATTCTGTGATTTTAATAGAACTGAGCAAAAGACATTTACGACATTGAAGAAAGCCGCAGAACACGATTCACAGACAACATAACATATCCATATATAGTCAATTCTAAACATGCATTCATTCTTTTAAAATTCTCTTCGAGCATCGATGGGAATTCTATCTGGGAAGGGAGGGGGAAGGTAAGCAAGGTTTCCTTGAGGCTGAGTTGGATCCAAGATGATATGCTTGGCAACAAAATGTCAGAATCGAGTCAACCCACTGCAGCAGTCTTGGTGGTACTCCAGGCACTGCTGACAGACCAGGTAACCTGATTTGGAAGGGCAGACTAATCACTGGGGGCAAGGATTCTTCTCAGTCAACTCCTGTTAACTCTGGAAGCCAAATAACAAGTAGGGTGTCCTTGGCTGGACAGGTAGATGAATGCTTACCAGGCAGTGCTCTCAATGACAAGGTATACAATCTTAGCTGGTGAAACTCCAGGAGTACCACAACACAACTGCTAATATATCTACTTAGTGTGGGTTCTTGACAACCTGAGCCAAATACTTTCTGGAACTAAGTAAGCAAGGTGCATCTGTGCAGGAAGAGAGGCAATTCTATTCTAGACAAAGGGA